GGTGCCCAGAATGAAAGGCCAGGGCAGTAAACAGCCAAGTCCTGACCACGCTCCTAAGCTGCAAAAATAAAACTGTATCAACATTTAATAAATAGAGAACAGGCAGTAAGCAAGCAATAGTGAGGATTCATCACTTTGCCTTTTGTTTGTTATTTGTCAGGCATATTTGTATAAGAGAGGGTACAGATTTGGGATCTATTAGTCAGATTGGTTGTTCCATCCAGCCAAGTCAAACCTTTAAGCTTTGGAAGAGCTTGGCTGAGGACAGCCTTTAGGCTTGACAACCACGACACCTCCATAGACAGTGCAGGCTGGGAGATGATCTGTGAGCTTTCCTGTTTCCTCCCTTGACCCCCTCCTTTTTGTCCAAGTCTTTGTCCAAGCAAGATTCCTCGCTCTGGTGGGAATCAGTTCACTCCAGAGTCTGTCACGCTTTCTGCCTGTGCTTATATCGTTGGGCGTCGGTAGCTGGGAAGAACACAAAAAGTAATGTCAGTTTTATCCACCCACTTTCCAAATTTGACTGAGTCAGAGATCTCATCCCTGTGGTCATCTTCACTATCACTCCAGCCTCTTGCTGGGAAAAAGGCTGTGCTTCTGCACTGTCACACAGCTTCTTTTTAGCTCTTACTTCACTTCAGCCCACCAAGAATCCCTTTGTGTTTCATGACAGTAAGCGGCTTCGGGGTAGCGGAAGGAGGAAAGCAGATGTGTTGTGCCTTAGTAGCTGTGTTTAATAGTTAGCTTGTCCCTGCCACGTTGAAGAGTGAAGGGTAGCCAAGAGTTCCAATGACTTTTAAACACTGCTTCCAATGCCCATGCCAACTTTTAGCAGTCTTCCCACCCTTGTTATCCCAAAGCAGTCGCAGGACTGTCTCCACTGTACACTTTTTCTCCTGCCTGCAAATATAACGCCACTAGGAGGAGTATTGCTCTTAAAAATGGGGGAAAGAGCCCATCTTTGGACAGTACATTTTGGGCTGGTAGCTGTGACGAAGCCCTGTTGGCAAGCTAGCTGATGAGCACAGAGTATTTCAGCCATGAGGGCTCCTCTGTGTTGGATCTCCAGCACCTCAGTGCCCTTCAGGACACTTTCCCTTGGCTAAAAGTGCCCCGGGATTCTGCCTTGCACCCCAGCTCACCTGGCTGCATGCGCACCATGCGGCATAGCCCTTTGCCCGGCTGGTTCTTGTACATGGGCTTCACGCACACTTTGTTAGTGGTGCCTGAAGCCAGGTCTGTGAGGAGCACGCTGTGGATCTGCGGTGAGACGCTGATGACAGATGAAGGGCCAGTTTGCCGCCGGCATCTGACTCTGTAACCAAGGACTTTCCCATCGGCAGAGTCCCAAGAGGCTTTCAAGGTGTTGGGGCCCATGTCTTCAAAGCGAAGGTGCCTCACTTTGGAGCCCTCTAGAGAAAGAAGATTCATGTTACTGTGGGCCATTTGTACGGAGTGGTCCTTACCAGCTAGCTCCGTGTTCCTCCTGAAGGGATTGCTGAGAAGGGGTTGCCAGCCAGCCTGATCTTTCTCTGTTGTAGAGATGCAATAGCCTGTCACCCTACATCTCCACACTGGAGGAGCTCAGCCTAATTAGTCCTTAACTTTGTCCTGGTACCAGCACAAAATACTTTTGTTGGCACTGTTAGGTACTGTCTGGCCACCTCCCACACCCTCAGCTGCTGTCACTCTGAGCTCCTCACTCTCGAGTCCTAATAAGAGCTAGATTTTGCCTCCTGCAATATCTTTACAGGTACCTCTTAAGAGCAGAAGCTTCTGCTGATGAAGTTTCCACCCCTCTGATGCTAAATCACACTAAAGAATAGACACCAAGGGGATAGGAGGGAAAGGCAGCTTTCTTTCTTCAGGGATCTCCAAGTCCGTTCTGCTTGTGACTGCACCAGCAGCTTGGCAGTACGCCCCCTGTAATAGCAGTCATACTGTGCGTGTCCGATTTTCTTTCAGTCCTACGCCTTATATATCTGCTACATCCTAACGGCATATCACGTGCTGTTCACCAGAAGCCGCAGCTTTCCCCTTCTCTCATCCCTCCCCAGTAACTGGGCTGACTGAGTTCTCTGGCTTCACCTAGAGGCCGATGATCTGTGCAAAGAAACAGGCGCACTTCAGAGACTCCTGATGCCCATACAGTTTCCTATCAGCAGAGTGCTGCTCACTCACCTTCCTGAGTGCATGCTTTAGCTGACAGGGATTTCTCCCTTCCCGATTTGTAGATTGCAGTCACTGTCACTAGATAGGTTGTATTGGGTGCCAGATTCTCCACCACAGTGCTGTTGTGCTTGCCATCCACCTCCAGCAGCTTCACCGAGTTCCCAGGGAGTGGTCCATACAGGATCTGATAGCCGATCACACTGTCCAGTGTAGGAGCCCAGCTAACATGGAAGCTGTGTGGCCCAGACTCTGAGATGAGAACCTGAGCTGGGCTTATTTCCTCTGAAAGCAATGTAAAAAGATATGAATGAGTATGTAATTCAAGGCATAAGCATGCTGTCAGAGGAGCATAATTGACCCGCACCATTATTTGGCTTCCAGGAGGTGGAAGAAAATCCATCCGGCAAGTGGATGTTGATAGTCATCCCAGTCAGCACAACCCAGCTCAGCCCTAAGAAAATGGTTTCTCTACCTGTGCAGCATAGAGCAGGCAAAACTACTCAGCCAAAACTGTTCTTACATGCAGAAAATTAATATTGGATGCAAGTTCATCTTGACTTTGTCACCCCTGCTTAGACTGTCAGTGTGCCACTTTTTTCTCATGTTGCTATCCAGCATAAATCTGAGTTATTCTTCTGGCCCAAATGACTAGTCTGCACAGAGGGGCTGGCTTCTGCTCTGAGCGCTCCCCCTCTCCTTCCCTCTTACACAGCGATTCCCCATGCCTGCGGAAGCAGCATGCACCTGCTTCAAGAGCATTACTCTCCCCTAGCTGCACCTGCAACCTCAGGTAGGAGACAGGGATCTCCTTGTTCCCATAGCAGCTGCTCAAGCTGTGAAGGTCAAAATTCCTCTTTGGCAGTAACCCACACAAGGCAGTACTGCTTCTGCCTGACCGTCATACTGGGACAGCGAGTAAGTACGTGCAGCAGCCTGCGCTTTATCCCCAGTGGGCTCTACACCTCAGCCCTGTTAAATACTCGCAAGCTGCAGCTCCTGCCTTCTTCTCCTGGGTAGCGGGCTCTGCTTTCCACCAGATTCATAGATTTTTAAAGTTGGAAAGGCATCTTATGACCATCTTATGAACAACATGATCCCCTGTTCTGGGCAGTCCAGAACATCTCTCTAAGGAAAGAGCTGCCAGCTGAGTGCCAGCATAAAGCAGCACATTATCTTCTGTCCTGACCACAACCATCTGCCTCCTCCAGCCAGACCATGAGGCTGTGGGATGCAGACCAAGGGCTGTCCTGTTTGCTTTATATACGTGAGGCTCAGCACAGTAGAGACTTCCCCCTTGGTCACGATTGTGCACGTTTTACCTGCCAGTGTAGTAACCCTTGTTGTCTGGGGAGGGAAGTAGTGGACGTTGGATTCAGGAATGAGTGCCACCTCGTAAGTAGTTTCCGGTGCAAGGTTGCTTAGCGTGAGGCTAGTGTGAGCCCCAGACACTTGGTTTGTCCTCTTCCTTGCTAGATCATCTATTGGGGCATACTCTAGGGTGTAGTAGCCAGTTTCTTGGGAGAGGAGTTTGGGCCACATCAGACGGAAGCTGCTTGAGGTGATATCTACTGCATGGAGCCGATTTGCTTGGATAACATCTGGAAGAGAAACAGCAGCAATATGCAGAACACGGCACGTCTAAAATACAGGCCCTTCTGGATGGGAGATGTAGCCTACAGCAACAGTGGATGACAGCTGAAGTCACCTAGGTGTAGCCAGGCCCCTTCATAGCAATTCAGTGAACCAGACCCTCTTTGAAAGGGGTCTGAAAAACTGAATCCTGGAAGCCAAGCATAAAGCTAAAAAAAATATATATATATATAATGTAAAATGTGTCAACTGAGGCAGCAATATCTGGGTCTTCACACCAGTCCTACCTCTCGGACAAGACCCTGTCACTGAACAGAGCTTGCAAAGGAAATGCATATGTCCCAACCGCCATGAGGTGGCATTTTGGCTAAAGCAATTGCTCAGGTTTGTCTGCACAACAGGCTTCAGCTCAAGAATACTACTGCACCTTGCCTCCTAGGCATCTCCAGCCTCAAACCAGTTTGTCACAAGCCTCCAGGTTGCTCTATAAAGCCCCAGCTTTCCCTCTCCATTCTCTCTGCATTGTCCTCTGTGCTAAGGCCAAACGGTGCTGTGATCTGCTGTGACAGCGAGGCCTGGCACAGCAGGAACCATGCCCCTGCCCATCCAAGCCAGTCTTCTGCCACCAAGAATGAATCCAGAGCGGTCCAGCAAGTTCTGGGCAGCTGCTCCTGCACGACAGATGTGTGGGAGTTACTGTGCCCGGCCAAACAGGCAGCTTCCCACACTCAGCAAGACGTTACCACGTACCCAACATGGCAAGCAGCACTGGCACTGCCTGTGACAAAGCTGGAGACAGAATTTGGGCATCCAGGTTCCAAAACTCCTGCGCTCAGTTCATCCTGAGCTCCCTGTGGAAATCACCTACTAGTGAAACCAAACCACTAAGTTTTGTCATGTATGTGAAGCAGCCCAGAGTGTGAAGAAACACATTTATCTCTGCTCTCTGCCTGTACCCAGTGGCCAGGAAAAAGGGGCAACGACTGGGGACTGTCCAGCATTTGCTGAGCCAGCTGCATTCACCCCAGCTGAAGTCACTCCCTGCAGTGTTTCACAGAGCTCCATTGTTTTGTGACATTCAACATTCAGAGCCACTCTCCGTGCTATCTCGCCTCTCTCCCCCTGCACAGAGGCTTCTCTTCAAAGCTCATGCTACCTTTGAGTTCTAGACCCCAAATGCCAGACACGAATACCTCTTCTGATGCTCTGCAGTTCCCCCAGCTTCCTCTGCTACTTGACCCTTCCAACACACGTGGCCTCCTGAGCCCATCTTGGGCAGAATTCCACTGTTCTCTGGTCTTCCAGAGGGGCAGAAACACACAGGACTGTTTCTAGCTCCAGGAAAGTGGCATACGAAGACATAAAGATGCTCTTTTTTAAAAAAAGGATTTTTAAAAGCATCCTGAGCCTTACAGAAGTGCGTTTGCTCTGCACAGCACCACTCCTGAAACCTTATGGTAGTACCCTCCAGCTGAAGCTTGAATACTTCAGGGTACTGCAAGTAGCCCTCACTGGCTGCCCATTACACAGAGGTAAGGGGAGGCACAAAAGTCTGCCCAGACCTGCAAGAAAATAGGGGCTAGCCTTGCACTCTCAGACTTGCCCTTTAACTGGGAGAAGATCAGCTCTCCTCCTCCGAGCTGCTCCGAGTCCCTGCCAACTTCCCCGTACCAAATAAAGCAGCCTCAGTTTTTCCTCTGAGCTGTTCTTTGGCTCTCCCAGGCAGGCAGGAACATTTCCCTTCTCCGTGCCCTGCCCGCTCCCGTCCACACAGCCTGCCAGCCAGCAGCACTCCACCCGGTCGGAGCTTGGAGGAGGCAGAGGGCGGGAGGCAGCACCACGGGGCCTGGGGCACTGCACCCTTCCGTGAGCCCCGCAATACCAGCGGCCAAGCCACAAAGGAACCGGGAACAGAGGAAAGGCCTCAGCACCAAAAGTCCTGCCAAAAAGCTCAGGGAATGGAAATAAGTGAGCTTGGAGGCAGGGCCCAGGGACACTGTAAGCAAGTCGGGCAGATTAAAGTAACAGGGTGCAGCAACACCTGAGACACATGCTGCAGGAAGCCCACAGCAAATAGCTCTGCCCCTTGTTGCCAGATTACAGATGCCTTCAGCACATAAAAACAGATGCCCATGGTACGCTTCACAGCGCCTCCTTGTTCCCAGAGGGAAGCAGCAAGTTAATCTCTTGTATTAGACCCAGGCAGTGCCTTGCTAGCAACACTCAGAGACAGCTTGTGACACACGTGCCTTCCACCTCCTGCCTCTGGGTGACTTGAAACACTGTTTTGCAGCCACAGGTTTGCTGGCATCCCACGAACGCTGGCAAGATCAAGATCAGACTCACAGGAATGCTGCTACTTTCATGATATGTGTAAGAAATGCAGCCAGGCAGCAGATGAACCTGTTCTAGCCCTGGGTACATGATCCCCTCTCGGCAGAAGCTTCAGCTAGGACTTGGGACAAATCACTTCATGTGAAGTGTTTCCCTGCTTTGTATTTCCCTACTTTGATATGGATGGGGGGGAGGGTTCTGATTCTGGGAGGGGGGAAAAACACACTTCATTACCAGGGTGGACATTCAAGGTCTGAGATCACTCCCTCTGGTCGCCTGCTTATATTCAGTGCTAAGTGAGAATGTCAGAGGACTCTAGGCTCAAAGCCTTCACTACAGCAGAAGTTAGCCAGGACCTTGTTTCAGATCAGAAATGTGTTGCCCTGAAGATGCATGGGAAGCGGCTGATGTTTTGTGACTGCTGGGCAGGTGGGCTCCTGCAGAACTTGGCTCAGAAGATGGTGCCGAAGGATGAAACAAGTCAGCAGCTGTCAGTTCAACTGGCTGAGTGGAGAGCAAGCACAGAACCTGATGTCATCTCAAAGGAATGCCTTGGTTTCACAGTATTTGAAGGTCCTTCCCCAGAAGGAGAGCACCAAATGCCATATATTGGGTACAAAATATATAAGATGCAATGGAAGAAGCCTGAGCTAGAGTCCCCCTTCCTTCACACCAGTATTTGCCAGGAGCCCGTCGTGGCTGTGGCCATAGCCAGGCTGGCTGGGAACAAACTGTAGCCTGCTGCATTCTGCAGACTTGTTGTGTCAGGACCCTGTGCCAAGGGAAGAGAGGTGGAGTGAACACACACATCCATCCACAGTCCCTGTCTTGCACCCTTCTGCGTAGTAGCATTACTGGAAGTATTTCAGGTCCGCCATGTCTAAGAAGCAGCCCATCTTCTCTGCTCTGTGAGACAGCCAGGTTTTTCAAAAGGGGAACTGAGGCAGAGACATCACATCCCTTGGCCTCAGCAGAGCCTGTAGCGGGACAGAAATATAGTTCAGAAGAGTAAGGCACCTTCCTTTTGTCTTCCTGTCCAAGTAGTGGCTGTCTTGCTGTCTAGGACTGAAAACCCTTGCTGTGAACTCCAGACTCAGCCCTGACAGTTCGTTATATTATTTGCCTGCTCAGATCTCTGATCAAATTTCTGAAGGCAAAGAAAATGCTTCTTAACTGAGCAACCCCTACATAAAGGTGTCTACCTTTGTATAGTGAGGTACAGCTGCAGAGATTGAACTGTTCCATGGGGGTTTCTCAGCCTACCTGAGACAGCAAGCAGCTTGGTAGCCAGGGACCATTGTGTTGGAGTATCTACGGGGCAGGCATGAAACACCCCATTCCTGGATAGGAGATGGAGGGAGGAGAGCAACTCTTGACAAAGCTTGTTTGTGCATCTACAAAAGGCTTTTAAAAAACAGTAGCAAGAAATGAAGATAAGATAGCAGTCATAATAAAACCACTCTGGGCGTTCCAGAGTTGGAAAGGCCTAATTTCTGCCTGCCAAGGATCCTGTCTGCCCCTGCTATCCCAGGGGCCACAGAAGCAGGAAGGGTGGTGATGAGGGCTGCCTCCTCCAGGCAGGGAAGAGTGGACATACGTGGCTTTATTAAGGCTAACTCAAGTGACGTTACCAATGTCTGGTATTTTGCTTAAAGCGCCAGCCCCTGGATTCCTATGGGAATCTCACTTTCCATTAAGATCTCAGACTAGTAACTTCTAGACCTAGTGGATGCACTGAATACTGCCCTCAGGCACAGCAGAGTATTTATTATCTTTGCAGATCTTACGATCTTCAAGACAGTCTTGTGCTGCAAGGATATGCAGGTGATTTCTCATTTTGGGATGCTATTTTATACCATCCGAATTCAGGATGCTCTAGAAGCTGAAACAGCCACTTGAAACGAAACATCTGGGGGTCTGTGCGGCATCTGGTACAGTAGAAGGACTGCTGGTACTGCCCCATACTCATACAGGAGAGAGGTGGATGATTGGAGGAGAACATAGTCCCTGTGTGTGGTTTATTAAATGATCACGGTTGGAAATAGAAAGAAATCGCTACATACAGAGGATTCTTCTGTGGAAAGGGTTACTTGGACACTCCAAAGCCAGCTCTAACCAACTCACATAGCAGAAGCCAAATGAGGAATTAAAACAGGATTTCCAATGGAGAGAGAACCTCCAGAAAATGCATGGAAAGTCTGCAAAGTCATAGTAACTCACTCAGCTTTCCAAACGAATCCAGAAGCATCTGGGAGGCTGAGGCAAAACCCCTGCTTTGCAATCACTGGCACTCCCACCGTGACAGCATTCAAGAGCTGCAAAAAGAACATGCATTGTGCAGTGCAGCATACAGATTAGCATGAGATATTCCTCTTGACTTCCAAACGCCCGTCTTCTGGCCCAGATTATGGCTTTGGGTCTCCTCAGACCCTTTCCTGGATGCTTTAAAAAACAAGACGGCTGAGGAATCAAATCTGCTGTCTGTTCCTGCTCTCTGCACAGCAACCGCCACAACCATGCTAGCAACAAAGAGGTAGGAGTTGGCCTGCTAAGCCTAACAAGTTAGGGCTGGGATTTTCTTCCAAGGGCTGTGCTAGCCAAGTCGGGCTATAGATCTGGCAGATGTGGAACACGTTACAACAGGGGATCTATGGAACAAAAACATTCCTCTCCTACAGTCTTAATGCTGATAGCAAGCCCCATCCTTAATTGCTCTTTGTAAGAGAACAACTGCCAGCCACTTGTAGGCAGGAGTTAGATATCTCAGTGCGTGCCAGCCACTGTGCCTGCACATGATGGTATATATAGGAAGTCAGATCTACCCTAGACAAGAGTTTGAGGGAGCTGACAGGACCAAATCCTTCCCAGGCATACACATGCCATTTTGTGTATGCAATGTGTTCAACACACTTGTGTCCTCCACCTCCATCAGATGGCACATAGCCAGACAGCATTTTAGAGAGAAAGAATTCACCCTGAATGTGAAAATCAAGTTCAAGGGGCTTAGGCACCTTGCTCCCACAGTCAGCAGCCTCTTACTGTAGTTAAATCATTGCCTGTTCAGGAAGCCTTTGGTAAACAGTTAACCTGTGCAAGTGGGGACATCTTCATGCCATGCTTGAATTGCACGGATGTCTGTGACCTGCATGATTCCTTTCAAAGTCTTGTGGGTTTTTAAGGAATCCAAATAATGCGCTGCCTCAGCCTCCTTCCTTCACTAACAACTGAACAACAACTCATTACAAATAAATTCATCTCACTAACAGGTCTGCAGAAGGGAATTTGTCCCAGTCAGTCATGGGACCTTCCAAAGGGAATAGAGATACTTGTCCCAGACCTCCTAAAAGCCTTGGTTTATACTTGGACCTAAAGCACCTCAGTCTGCAAGGGCAGCAGCTGTGGGTCAGTAGGACCATTGGTTTTAGGGGATTCTCACACTGCCTGCCCTGCAGAGCCAGGCATTAACTCATATTCAGCCCTGTTGCAAACTCCCAGTGACCACAACCCAACCCCGCTGTACCTAGGATAGCATCTCGAAGCTCCTTTGTGATGATGGGTAGGTCATCAACATCCACAAAGTGCAGGTGCTTCTCAGGAGGCTGGCTGGCAGCAGCAGAGAGTTCCAGGTAATTCCCCCGTCCAGTGCTGACAATGAAGACTGTTACTCCCATGTCCTTCAGAAGCTGCATGGGTTCAGAGATGTCATCAGTGGAGAAACCATCTGTCACCCAAACCAGTACCTTGGGCACATCTGGCCGGGCACCAGCTTCATCACTAAAGAACTTCTCCTTGGCATAGGAGAGCGCTTTGCCTGTGTTAGTGTCGCCCATGAGCTGTTGCGTGTCCCGGATGGCTTGTTGCAGAGTCCCACTAGACAGGTACCGGTCAAAAGGGAACTCCATGGTGGGCGTAGTGCTGATGTGGATGATGCTGGTCTGGACATCTTTGGGGCCAAAGGCGAAAGGTTGCACAAGGTCCCACATGAATTCCTTGACCCTGGAAAACTCATAGTAGGAGACGCTGCCAGAGCTGTCCAGCAAGAAGAGGAGGTCCCCCTCTGAGTTGGAAATAGACGGCTGGGGACCTAGCAGGGGAAGAGAGAGGGAGGTGCATTAGTGGAATGGTGTGAACCCATACCTGCACAGGCATCTGCTAGGAACGCTTGGTTATCTTGTGCCAAATCTCAGAATTCGGTGAGAATTTGGCTGAGTAGAGACCTCAGGATTTGCCTCTTTTTATTATTATTTGCATCTCGTGTGAGGGGTCCTGGGCTTTACTCTCAGTCCTGCTGTCCACTGTCCAGGAACTTCTCACCCCATCTCCCTAGCACCCCGTCTTCCCTCATTGGACAGCTTTGCTTAGACTCATCTGTTTGATCACAACTGTTCTTTGCGAACGCTTTGAGATGCTAGCACTGAAGCGTTAGCCAGAGGGCTGCCTGTGATTGTTCACAAAGTAAGTTCTCTTAGCACCTTTTGTTTTAAAGTACATGGCCAAAAAAGCCGTTTCTGTTGTGAACAGAAAACTGGTTCTTAAGCCCTGAGGTCCAAGAACCTGAACTGGTTACAGGATCACAAAGAGCAAGAGGAAAAAAGTTCATGAGACCCCACTCCACCACCCCCCCACTGAATAGCAGGATTGTGACCTGCGTTGAACTATTTGTCTCCCACTGCTTTCTTTGGGTTCAGTCTCACTTTGGGACGTCACAGCTGCTCAGCCTGATCTAGGCCCTGCCCAAGAGGGTCGCTGCAAGGAGAGAAGCCAAAGCACTGCAGTGGAGCCTGGAAAGAGCTCTGGGAGGCACTGCAGGACAGCAGCCTAGTGCTGGTCCGCCCGGCCATGGGACCCTCTCAGCAGCACACTTCAAAAACACCACCTACCCCCCAGGGTTTCACGTTGGCCAAGAGGGTAGGAGACATGCAAAGGAACAGTTGGAGCACCTCAGCGATACAGCAGCCCTGAGCACCGGTGGTGTGCTTGGTCCATTGCTGTGAACCACGGCACGATATCCAAGCACACAAGTGTTGCAGCTGCCATACTCCAACGTACTTCAGTGGGCTGAGAGACAGAGGCTCACGGTAAACAGTCAGTGCATCTCAGCCCTGCTGTGTGCAGCTTGCCCTCTGGCTCTTGGCAAAGGCCAATGCCGCAGACAAGCTTGGCCTTTTGGAGCTCACTCCTTTTACATGTTCTGCATCAACCTAGATGATGCAGATCAACCAGCATTCAACAGAGGTAAAGCTGAAGATGCATCTCACCTAGCTGCTGTGGCGAGCTCTTCAGGAGCAGGGAGAGGAGCTCCCCCTGCCTGCATTGGCTCTCTCCTCTCTGGGCTTTGCTGCCAAGTTTGTTTTAGAGTCACGTTTTACACATTTGCAAAGATAAAGACAGCGAGGAGGAGCACTAGTTACTTTTTTCCCTCCTTTCCATTCACATGTGTGATCCCTACTGTTCGAGGAGCTACTTGGATGGCCAGAAGAGACCCCATGTCTCTCAGAGGAAAACGGCCAGTCATGGAGAGGAGAGGCAGGCCAAAAGGCTGAAAAACTGGGATGAAATATGCCTGAATTCAGCCTAGTGCCTGACTTCTGAGAAAATACAGCTCCTCCTGGAATGAGAGCAGGATGAATGCCTGATATTCCTCTGGTCCAAATTCAGTCAAGATGTGTAACAGCTGGGAGCAGAAAATGCCATTGCAGCAGCAAAGGGAAGTAATTTCCTGGGACAGTAGTCTCACCTCCTCATTCTTAGGTCCTGCACAAGAACAGGGGGCTGGAGCAGAGCAGGGAGCCAACAAAGGCAGGGTAGAAGAGATGCCCTGGGCCTGACACTGCAGGAACAGTGGGAGCTCTGGCTTCTGAGCACACCTAGAACTTCTACACTACACTCATGCAGGATCCGCAAGCGCTGCACAGACTTACGAAACCTCATGGCAGTCTTTCCAGGCACATGTTATTAACCCATTACAGATAAACTGAAAGGCCAGGGCAACGGGAAGAGGCAGGAGCTCAGGCACAGGAATCAGGGTAGAGCTTAAAGTACAGTCTGCAAGTCCTGGATCCTGCTCTCGCTGCTGCAGAAAAAAAAACACGCCTCTGAGCTACATCAGCTTGCACTGACACCTCGTTACACAACACCAGGCTGATCCCGAGTACTTTATGCTCCAAGATGGGGGTGGACACGTTCCAGGAGCTGGGAACATTCCTCACCAGCCTGAGCCAGCAGGTCAGGCATGCCCCGTGCCAGGGCGTAGCGCTCTCGCTGCTGCAGAAAAAAAAACACGCCTCTGAGCTACATCAGCTTGCACTGACACCTCGTTACACAACACCAGGCTGATCCCGAGTACTTTATGCTCCAAGATGGGGGTGGACACGTTCCAGGAGCTGGGAACATTCCTCACCAGCCTGAGCCAGCAGGTCAGGCATGCCCCGTGCCAGGGCGTAGCCTCTGCCATCCAGAGCTGCTGCTCTGGGCTAAGGCGCAGCAGTCCCAGAGAAAGAAGCAAACTGCTGATCGCAGGACCAAGAGCAACTGCCAAGGTCAGGAGCAACTTTTGGGCCTAAGACAACTTACAGGTTTATCCCATCTTTGACAATGGCAGTGCCTGCAAGAAAAGTGAGCTGTATTTGGAAAAGAATGAAATGATAGATAAACTTGATGAGAAAAACTGCTGGCTCTACTCTCCCAAGGGAGGTGGCTGAATCTCAGAACGGGCTGCCTCTAAGTTCAAAGGCTACGGTCCACACAAGACTGGCAGAAAGCTCCCTGATTTATACCACTGTTGGCAGGAAAGTCTGGAGTAGACGGACTCCTCCCTAGATCACTTTTGTAAAAGCTAGGCTAATTTGGTGTTTTCTTGCTCTTTTGAATACGCATTGACCTCCTTTCCCAGATAGTCTTAGGACCAGCACCTTAAAGGGGCTCTGGGACAAGATGTCTGGGAAAGGGCAGCACAGACCCGTTTGTGCAGAAGAATGCAATATGTCAGGAAGAACATGCTTCTGAGGGCGTGGCCTGGAGTCCCACTTAATTTGACTCATTTTCTTACTCTTTCAATTAAACTGCTGTGTGGGAAGCACAAACACATAGGGGACTCCTGCTTCTACCACTCTTAGAGCTTGGGAGATTTACAATAGCTGGAATATCAATAATGAATTTCAAATTCTTTTAACCACCACCCTGCTTTCTGACAGCTTTTGAGGTGCAAGAAGGGAGAAAAAGCCTTGGACCAGAGACTCCTGCCTGCCCATTTGGGCTCCTCTATCAGTGAGGGGATCAGGAACATGGGGTGGCCAAGCAATGTGGGCTCTGGAACATAAAAGGACTTGGTGCAGCACACAGCGGTTGAGTGCTGGAGCCGTGTGTGGGAGCCAAAACCACAAGGCAGTAGACAGCTGAATTGAAAGGCTCCTGTAAAGTTAATTGCTCCAAGGAGACAGCTCATGCAAACGGTTCTCCCCCTGCAGAAAGCCGTGTCAAGGCAGGCCCAGAGATAGCAGTGAGCCTGGCAGAGATGAGCAGGGGTTTGCTAAGCCCCCACTGGGGCACTACTCCAAGAGGCAGATGTGAGATGGCAAAATCAAGAGGAGGGAAAGGACCAGGGCAGGGGAACAGTGAGTGGCTGTAAGGGGTCTATTACATGTCCTGACAGTGAAACCTGATGACCTGAGCACAGAAAAGATCATGAACCAGCAAGAGCACAGCCATTCAGGATACAACACAAGGGGCTCAAGGGGGAAAACAGAAGGCAGAGAAGTGTTTCAGGCTTGAGCCACAGGCGACGATCCTCTTTGCCCAGTTTTCATTTGGACAGCCTTTACCCTATTTATTTCCCTCACTGGGTACCGTTCAGATGCCTGCCTGTGCAACGAGGGCATGAGTGCCTGGGTCTGTCCCATGGCAGGAGTGTTCACGTCTGTGCTCAGGAGTGTCAGGGAGAGGTACACTGGAGAAAGGGCCAGGTGTGCTGGGAGTGCCCACAGGATGGGGGACAGAAATGGCAGGTGTGAGTCAGGACCACATTTATTGCATGTGTTACAGTATAGGTGTGCACTGGAAGAAAGCCAGAGTGCTTGCACACACAGTCTGTAAACATGCAAATAAACATGCTGCCTACAAATCACTGTGCTGCTACAGAGACCAAGGCAGCACAGGAACCACTCGCCTGTAGTAGGTGCTGGCTGAGATGGCAGAGGCATACCAGATCTCCTGAAACAACAGGAGAAATCAGGTGGAGCCCTCAGAAACGGAGAACATAAACGTTACTTGGAGGTGACTAAGTGAGAGATGCTAGGAGGCAGCAGGAGCGGGACCTGCAACCTACGTGGATTACAGCCAATTCTGCGTGACCCAGCACAACTCAACCCTGTGTTGCAGACACACACACAGAGCAACTTGGCATTCAGAGCTGAGCAGAAAATAAAAGTGAAGTCCAGTAAGCCTTCCTGCTTGCCCATAGCAACATGGAATTTCATCACCACATCACACGGTAGAGTGAGCCTGTGACCTACGGGTCCCTGCCACTGGTTCCTAGAGCTCCCTACCTCCTAACAGCATTCCAGCAGGGCAGAGCAACCAGGGCTTTGTTTAGAGCTTCTGGCTGCATGAAGCAAGTCAAGCACATGTAGCCAGAGCTCTGCGCTTTGCCCTCCGCTGGAGGAAGTACAAGCCACTTACTTGGCTGGCAAGCCATAGCGAGAGATCTTGGCAACGCGACTGCAGCCTCCCAGGAGGAAATCATTGTTTCTCCCCTCTGCTCCTCACCAGTTTGAGGAGCGTCACTCCTTTCCCGAATGTTGCAAACAGCTGTGAAAGCTTCTGACCCTGGCAGGGCAGGGATCAATGGCCAAAGGACATTGCTCACAAGTGGTAAACAAGGTCACATGCACTAGGGCTCTGGGAGGGGAACTCCGAATTCACCAGGAGGGAGCAGATGCAGGCAAAATCCTACTGCTGCCAGAACTACCTGCATGGGGGAACACGTGGGTGAAAACCAGCATGGAACACTGGCTCAAAAGAGAAGAACATCAAAGGAGAGTCAAGAGCCGTGCCCCTGTCAGGTTGCACTCTTGACTGTACCCTGCAGCTCTGGGGCACCAAGGGAGCTGGGCACATTAACATCCTTTAAACACTGGTTTGACCTATCATACATTGCTGGAAATAGCTGTGTTAATTAGGAGGCTCTGCAGGAAGAGCTACAGCTTGACACCACAGTGTTCTGCCTGGAGGGTAGAAAGCATTGGTTAACAACAATTGGTTAACAAAAGCAACAGTTACACTGGTGGGCAGGTATGTATTTTGGAGCTAAAGGGATTGTCTGTGGGTGGAGCAGGCAGCTAATCCTTCATACAGGCAAATACCATCACAGTTACTTCTACTTAACACTCAGCCCTGCATAAGACAGAAACAAATTCCTCCCATTTAGATTTTGTCAGCAGAAAGGATAAGGATCCATAAAAAAATCTAGACAAAGGATCCCACTACATCAGAAGTGTGGCAACGCTCATAGAGCAACTGGACACTCCATCGTCCTTCCCTTCAGGTTTAGGTTTTCAATTCCCTCATCTTTCTCCCTGTTCTTCGTCCTTCATCCAATATAAACATACCATCCCTGCCAGAGGTGGGGCTGCGGAGATTCGTTACCAGCAAATCCCTGCATTACGCAAGCAGCTGCTGTTTTCAAGCAGTTTCCTTGCTCCTACACCAAAAGAACATCGGCTGTTTGGCAAGATGCCAAACGAAGATTTCTCACTTTCAGTGGGATTCTGAGAGAAGGGGCATCCGTTAGAACCTCCCTGCCTCCTGAACTGTCAGGCCTTTGCTTCTGAAGAGCTGAGGAGTAACTCTGCAGACCTCATACCATTGCTGCTCCTGTGCTCTACTTAAGTCTAGGGAACAATAGAGAACACATGGCAGTGTGTCCTGTTGTCACCCTCTAGCTGATACGTGGTCAGCAGACACAGATCAGTCATGCAAAGAAGAGTTTGGAGGGGATCGATATGGGAGCAAAACGTCACCATGGAGTCACAGTGCTGCCTAGTTAAACGCTTGGCTTTTCCAGGAGGAAAACAGCTGGTCAGACTTCCCCGTCTTACACTGAGATGCTGACAGGAGACGTCTGCTTCAAGAGTTCCCTGCACCCTCAGCTGGGACCTGAACACATGCCTGATTTACATGGGACTTGGAACTTGTAGAGCATAAAGGATTTAACAGCCAAAAAAGATCATGTCCTGTCTTGGTTAACTATGTTTGAATTTGCATGTTTGTCTTCCCTTCTCACTGTTTGGCCATGCAAGGAAAAAAGTTCTGCTATGAGTGGAGCCAGGTTTGGAGGCTGAAGAACACAGTCCCTGCTCCCCTGTGGCCCCTTGGGATCACAGTGAGAGGCAGGAGAAAGGCATCACCTCTCCCAGAAAGAGAGGAATCCCACCAAGCCAGCCAGGAGGTGTTTTACACTTAAAACCATGTCAGAGAGGCCTGTGCCATGGGAGACTGCTTGATCACCTGCCTATTTAAGGAGCTGAGCCCCACCAAGCAAAATATACTTGTGTGGCTAAAAGCCCAAACTACCTATGCAGGTTCCAGCTCGTCCATGGCACAGATTACAGGCTGTAGGTTGAGAAATGGCCCTTCAGACAAATTCCTCTGGCAGGAAGGAAGCTGGGCTGCCATCTCTTACGATCTTCTCAGGAGTTTCACTATCTCTGCTGTTTTAGAGCCTCAAGAGTCCTGGAATCATGGAATTATGCCAGGTACTGAGCTGTGCTTCAGAGATCAGTGAGTGCAGGGCCCTCTACAGAGTGCATATGGGTGGGCCGTGTCTTTTTCACTTGCTGCACCCACAGGGACAGCAACATCCCCATCATTTTCTGCTGATGCTAGTCCAGAGTAACCAGGTAATGACAACCCAAATTTCATTTATCAAAGCCAAAACTATCAAGTGGTCGTACTTTACGCTGATGCAACAGAGATCTGAATCTGGACCCAAAGAGGAAAGCGGTGGAACTGGTCATGTGATGCTCCGTCTTGACTTTGTGCCTTGGTGCACTAAGTCAATAGCCATTGCCCTGAAAAAAGCTAATCACTCCTGAGCACGTAGAAGCACCACTGGCCACACCCAGTAGCTTCCTCACTTTGCCCGCTGCAGCTGAGGATAAAGCCACAATCATTCACATTCAGTCAAGTCCCTAGGAAACAGAGTTACGAACACGCATCCCTACCTCTCAAACAGTTCCTCTCATTGTGTGATCATGGCACACCACCATAGCTCCTCCAGACAAGAGCTAGCCCATGCCCAGGAGCCCTGCCAGACTGGCTGCCTGCTCAAGGTTGCTTTAGGGAGCGCCCGGGAGGAGCCCTAGGAGCCCCCCCGCATCAAAGCTGCTGCGGAATGGGCACCTTGCCGACCAGCAGGTTCATTTCCCCTACGGGTGCTTGGCAGCGTGCAAGCCGAAGTCAGCACGTCAGTAACACCACGCGCACAACTTTGCCTCTGGAGCAAGGCACAATCCTTCTGGAAAGCCATGGCTTGCTTTTTTCCACATACGCTAAAGGTCTGACCGTTGTTTTTAGCCTGGGCTGAGGAACTGCCACATACGCTCCCATGGCAGCAGAAATGCATGGCAATAGGAGTAACTGCTGCCTGCATGGACATCGAGCATTGTGACAATGTCATAGGCAGCAGTACCATTCCTGAACCGGCCTGTGTCACTGAGGGACAGCATCCAGTACCCTGTAAGGGGATCCGAGCAATAGACACGGTCTGGTCTGCGTACCAGAAGCAGAATCAGACCCCAGCAGTCTGGGCTGCTGTCTGAGTCTGAGGACCTCCTGTCCAGATAGACCAGAGGTTCACTTCTCCTTTCACACTGGGTTACGTTTCCCAGGTGCAGTGAAACCCAGATGCAGGCAGCAGTAGCCCTGCAGTCAAAAAACACAACCTTTTTCTACTCGTGAACACAAGGCAGAAGAAAAGTATTTACATCAGCTTAGCCATCACGATGTGGGCTAAGTCTTCTGCCCAGCACTGCAGCGCAGGAACCAGAAATGAGACATTCATCTCCTCTGCATCCCTTTCCCCGCTGTCAGTTCCACGAGTCTGACCCATATTAATTTCCCCTGAACAGCATCCAAGAGAAAGCATTTTAAAGAGGAAATATAATGATTGAATTACAGAGATTAGCAGGAGAACAAGACGACAGGTATAGTATCAATCACTGTTTTTACTTCTCTTAATCAATGTGCCTCAGTACATAGGTAACAGTGAGGAGTCAGGACTTTTTCCATATGATTGCACTAAACTCCGCAAGTTTCTGAAACAGTTTCCTTTCCACTACTCAAAACAAGCAAGATAAAATTTCTTTCTAATATGGCAATTTTAGAAAGGTTTTTGTTTTATCCTTGTGCCAGCAAAGTAACACACAAGTATAACTATACACTTAAAGCAGCAATATAACTTCAGCTTTTATCCTGAAAAGGTTTTATGAGAAGCTCTAAGGACGAGGAGGTATTAAATGGGGGAAAGTAGTAAGGGAACGCCTTGCCTTTTCGGGCACTCACCTCTCTCAGGTGTGTTCTGTCCCACAGCAAACTGCAGCCACAGACCAAGAGAAAGCACTGTCTCGGCCAACATAGCAAAGTCTGGTCCTGGGCAAACTACCTTAAATCCAAAAGCTCGGCTCTGTGAAGGCAGATGAAAGGCTTAAGATCAGTCATATTACGTGCAAGGATCCACCAGATCCCAGGGTGCCACTTTTACGCTGCTCATGCCTTGAGATCCGACTGCTTCTTTATGTGTGTTTTGTTGGGCTGTGGTGTAAGCCCTGGCTCCTGTAGGCAGTTTTCCTTCCCCCCCCTTTTAAAGTCATAAATCCATCTTGACAGGAATAGCTGGAGGAGAGGCACAAACAGCACCCCTGCTGCTGTTCCTCTCCCGAGTTAAACTTGCCCCAGGAGTGTGGATTCAATTGCAGGCAGTCTGCGTGCAGCTGGGCTGGTTTGAAAAATATATCCCTATAGATAAAACTTTGGCCCTGCAAGACACTGGCAGCAGTCCAACTACTGGGAGGGGGGGGGAGCTCAGAGAAATCCAAAGCTGCTGTGCTCTGGAATGAACTAGAAGAAGGAAAAACACGTATATAGAGGAAAGCAAAAGTAGAAAAGCTGGGGAGCGTGCCCTGCCCTGGGAATATTGGCTAATCCTCTTGGGAGGAGGCAGGCTGAGCATTCCCCCAGGTCCTAGCGCTAGCGCGTCCCTTCCCCTGTGCCCCACGGCCCGGGGCCAAACACGAGGGGTACGAACAAACTCCGTGCCTCGCCGCTTTACCCTGGAGAAGAGCTGGTGCAGAAGTCACCAAGAAATGCAGAGCCTGGGGGCAGCAACCACTGCCGAGGTGGGGAGCGTCAGCCGGGTGGAAAAGGGCATGAAGCAATATTCTCTGGTGCAGCTGGTTCATGCAACAGCCTGCTACACGCCCACTGATCATCTCCCTTCAGTGGGGCGTTAAATACCTTCTCAAGTCTGTGACTTCTGAGTCAAAGGGGACTCACATGCCTGAAGATAAACCTGTGACAGATATCTTACTGGATGGAGGGGCAGAAGAGTTTGGCAGAGAGCATATACCAAAGACCCCAGGTTCAACCTTCACGGGCACTCAGCCTCCCCGCTTCCCCTATGTGCGGGAGACTTGTGCCATAACGAAAAAACAGACCAAACCTCGTTTCCCTTCTCATGGCTGTCCTGCTGTCCATGTATCTGCTTTTGGCTCCTACTCATCAGGTAGAGGTGACAATAGTCCTTTTTTTCCACCTTAGGTTTTAACATGCGCTAATTCTGGACAGATCCAAGATGTTACTAGTAGAGGAAAGCTGGAAAGTTACACCCAATTATGAAGAGACCAATCAATTGTCATCTCCCTTAACATTGGGAGTGACCAACAAGACAGGCTAAAAAGTAAAAAAGGGAGAATGTTTAGAAGCTTGTGGGATTTCTGAGACTGGTGAGCAGTATTTCCTCCAATTTGATTTTCTCTCTCCCAGGAACTGTAAAAGAGTGAACAGGAGTTAGGAGCCAATGAGCCGTGCAGGGTGGAAAAAAGTTGTATCCAGACTCATCAACCAAATGGAAAGTCAGAACAGGCCCAAGAAGTCGGATCCAATTGAGAAACCATGGATTCAGTCGGCTAGTTAAACTTCCTGGGCACTTGTTTGTGTTTCCCCTCCCAGTTTGGTACCCGGCTGCATCACAAAGGAGCTTTGTAATTATTAGGTTGTACGATACCTCAATCCCACGTAGCATAACCCTATATGAGTGACGGCCTCACCCAGTGATTCATGCAGGCTGGAATAAGCGTTATCCCAGGTACTCAAGAGAATTAGATACCCCTGCTCTCATACCGAGAGCATGTAACCTGTGAGATCCCCTCAAAGATGGCATCTGGATCCTGGTGCAATAGCTGCAGCGACCAAATACTGTCGCTAGCTGGTTTCCCTGACACATAGAGCAGGGTTTCTTAATGTTAACAGCCCAGTGAAATAAGTCTGGATATTAGCTGCTGAGTTATGTCTGACCATAGGCACAGTGGCCTTGATCATTGCCTCTTGAAATCAAGAGCAGACTTTTTTCTCTGACTCAGTGTGGTTTGGGCCTGCCCCTGTCAGAGTTGTGCTTATTTAAGAGCACTCATGATGAAGTCAGTAGGAAGCGCAGGTACTCGAGCAGTGAAGCTGTCAGTCTGTAGTCTCATTTGGCAAGCAAGCTTCCAGGGAAAAATTACACAGCAAAGCAAATCACGCCGTGGTCTAATTCACCAATCTGAGCAAATTCATCAGTTCTCACGGCACAGATTCACATTCAATTCAGTTACTGATGTATTGACCATGATGGCAGCCAAGAAGGGCAAAAGGCTTTCCAAACCACTGTTGAGTGAGGTTCTTGTTCAGTTGCATCCTTGTTCTCTGCTGGTGAATATGTCCTACTCGCTATTCTCACACTGGTTGTATTCTGGACCTGGGTAATGTAAAGAACGGGCTGGCGGAAGCAAGTGTTGCCCCATTGCAAACCATCTGCTTCTTATCCACTAACCTAGACATCAATCTGCTCCTGTCCCATCCTCCTTCTGCCCCATTGCCCAGTGACCTGTTCAGAGAAAGCCACTGCAAAGACAGTGGGCTAGAAATGCTACGGGTCTGGTTCCCAGGGCTCACGGATGCATGTTCAGAGCCACTTGACTAGGGCTGGTGGGTATATGGAGATGATTTCCTTCCATTACTCACTTCCCAAGGAAGTCTTTCCACGGAAGGGTTGCTCATTTTAGAATAATTCCCTTTTATGTCCATTTATCAATGTAAATGCCATTCAGTCTCACACCCTGCAGCCTGGAGAGATTTCAGCCTTTATCTCCCTGCTTCCACCTATCCCAGCAGGACTTGCAGGAAAAAACAGCCTGGAAAATAATTAGATCTTACACAATTTTGTTTTATTTTTAAACTTTACTGTAATTGACAGATCCTGTTTCCAGTAAGACGGGTGCATGCGCATGCTGGTTCTTTCCTAGTTGCATCCTGCACTCTGACTGAAGCCAGCAGTATCACTCCAGACTTGCCTCTGTTTAAACGTGATCAGAATCTGGCTGCAGATCTCAGCTTAGGCTCAGCTCCCTGTCACTGCTAAGCTCGTGTTATCCACCTGTCATTGACTTGATGGAAATTCACTCAGGATGATCATCTTCTTACCACGCCAAGTTACAGAACAGCTCAGGAACAATTAATGATTGTAAAAAGGAAAAACTAATCCACTCTATTTTGGCTGTGATATTACTGAGACTCAGACATGTACACACAATATATTGTACAGCACAAACCCTCAGTACTACGCTTCAGCGTTCCGCGCATGGGAAGGCTTTGGTGGCATGCTGCAGCTGCTGTGACATTCTGGGGATGTAAACAATACGCAATTTCTGAGGAGATGCAATATCCTCTCTGAGACAAATTACCACAGCTGGAACAAACAGGCTTTTGGGAACGCTGCCTTTTTTCAGCTCTACATAAAAGTTTTTGTTTGGAGGGGCTATCTATATATGGCAATTTGGAAATTCCCCATTTGGAAAGGAAGCAAAGCAGCTCTGCAGCACTGGAAGAACGATGCGGGTAAAAGCTCCCTCAAACTCCAGGGAAGGCTTGTGCAGCCCAACACAGGTGGGCACTTACCCAAGGTGCCGGTAATCCAGCTTGACCACACGCGCCAGGGTCTCGGGCTGGAAGGCAAGACCTCTGCCAGCTCACGCTGAGACATCAGCTCGATTCTGACGCAGAGAATGCAGATAGCAACCGAATCACCAACAACATTCACGGCCGACTCCAGGTTTTCCTCCAAATGCTGACCACGCTCCAGGTTTTCCTCCAAATGCTGACCACGCATGGCTCACCTGACTGCCCCGCTATGTCGCACTTAACTGTTAAACAGCTACAGGCTGCATGGCTGGAGGGCACAAACTTGAACTCCACTGACTCCAGAAATGCCATTCTGACTTACAGCCGAGAGGATCAGGCCCTGTGTTGCCAGCTCTCAGTGTGTCATGCAGTCTCCAGCCTCAAGTCAGCTCTTATTTTTGTTTGACTTGGAAGACAAACTACAGAAATAGACATGTTTACTCCCTGCATTCACCAGTTTTATTTTTCTCAGAAGCCTCCCAGTGACTAGGAGTGACTCCACAGTGAGGTAAGGTCTAGCTTATAGATGATCTCTTTCATCCCAAAGCATCCTAAAAAGTCACCCAGCACAAAAATACAGCCACCTCCGGGGTGAAGTGCAGTAGCTTTCAACTACTTGCAACAGTATTAAACTAAAGCTTAGGATATGTGAAAAAATTTGCAGGACAGATCTACTCTGGAAGAATGCAACCACCCACATTAGAGTAGTGTCAATATACTGGGAAAGGCTGCTTCCCACCCTAATACTGGCTGCAGAGTTATCGGGGCCCTCTTAAAAATAACCTGGTAATATCCAGCGATAAGAAAATACTTCTTCAGAAACAGTGGTGGGCACTCTTGCTCTTTCCCCTCCAGCACGGTGTCATGCCAGGACACAGTGTCCTAGTTTTCTCTCTCATACACATTTGCAGCAGCCGATTTCAAAATGAAGGAATTTATGGAAATAACACACAGGTAGACACAAGCACGTCAGATGTCTAATGCACAGAGAGGGATGAGGTTCTCTAAGCCTGCTCTGCTAGGGGCTTCAGTTCCCTCTGGCTCCCAGGCAGCCTACAATTGGCTCCTCAGGTTTTATGAAATCTGGACCACGTGTGCTTGGGTGAGCTCTGAAGGAGTCAACTTGTCACAAAGCATCAGCTCTCAGACACCAAAATGACTTAGAGCCCCCAGGATCCACCTGACCTGGGATGGGATGGACCAACAACCTCAGTTCCTCTCCAGCTCCGCATCCAGGGCATCTCCTGGTCTCTCCACACAAGTCTGCCTCGAGAAATTCCAGACAGTATCAGCACTAGACAAGGGGCAGTGGAAGCTGGACATCTTCCCAGAAAGGAAGAGAACCTAGCCCTTCTGATAGGCCACAGGACAGCCTTCAGCTCCTTTGAACTCCGGCTTCCCAAAGGAGTTCCTAGAGCAAACCAGCCCCAGCACACGATGCCTCCATACCTGCTGTCTCTTGTGATTTCAAACCTGCATTGAATCTGTGGGTAATTTTATTGCAGAGAAATAATATCAGAGCAAGAGGAAGTGGTGATTAATGCTGTTGCCAATTTATGCTGAGAATTAGCATCAGTTAGATAAACTAAGTGGGGAGGGAGCAGTTTGCTGAGCGGGATGCCAGAGCCAGAGTTAGAATCCTGGGGACAAATCCGAGGTAAATAGTGTCTCCTCACTGCAGCCTATTAGCGCCAGGTTGCACCAGCTGTGCACTCGGCATCTTTCTTGGGACTGAATCCAATTTGTCTGGTCCCTTTCTACTTTTCTTGCGCACATTTTCATCTATGGTTTCATTCTGCTAATATTCTAGACA